AACTGCACGCGCAGAAATCCGACTCGCACGCACCATCGAAATGACACTCTACCTCTATTGACTGAGGACCAGCCAACTGTCTCGCCCATAGTAAGGGAAAATTTATGAAAAGTGGGTATACCTAAACGTTCGCTTGACACCTTCCATCTGTCCTTCCTATAGCAAGGGAAATTTTATGAAAAGTAGATATACCCCAATTTTAGCTTGACACCAAACATCTTCCTCGGCAATTTCGACTAAAAGATGTAGGCGAGCACCAGTTTCGTCCTCGCCTTCCCCGAGAAAGGGCAGGGAATAGGAAAATTTTTATTTATTTTTTTTTAATTGTCCGTTTCTTCATTCGGGGTCAGAGACATTTGGTACGGGGTGAAGTTGGAGTCTCAACTTCGCTCCATACACACGAGGAAATACAAGACGAGGAAATTTCATTCCCGCCGCGAGCACGGTTCATATCGACTAAAAGTGGTCGGCGAACACCAGTTTTGTCCTCGCCTTCCCCGAAAAAGGGCAGGGCATACGAAAAAAAATCTGTTTTTTTCCTGTTTCGTTCCTTCATTCGGTCGGTCAGGTAGGTATGTCTCAACTTCGCTCCATACTCAAATATGAGGAAATTTCATCCCCAGTCGCGAGCACGGTGATTTCGACTAAAAGTGGTCGGCTTGCACCAGTTTCGTCCTCGCTACTAATGAAAATGTATAATACAAATACCTACAAACCAAATTGGATTACCAAAATTAAAAGTATCTTAGACAATTGGGTATGTCATCAGTATGGGACACCTCAGACAACGTAAACCCTCTTGGTTATCAAAATCTATTGAGCTGCGCCTACACGATATATATATATACAAAATTGGCACGCTGAAGTAAACAATAACAGAACTCGTACAAATTATCGAAATTTTAAAGAAAATTTTCACTTTGAAAAATACCTAAACAATTTTAATATTAAAGATAGAATAAACTTGTGTAAATTTAGGTGAGGTATTAATCGTCTCGAATAATAGATAGATGATGAAACTTGTCCCTTATGCCACAGCCTTGATAAAGGTGATGAATTCCATTACCTATTCAAATGTCCTATTCTAGATACTGAAAGAGAATTTTACCGCATACGTCCAAATTGTTTGAAAATGTGTCAATTAATGAACGTAACGAGTAAAAAACAACAGGAGCAATTGTCCAAAATGGTTAAAGCAATTATGTCTCATTTCAATTCCGTCTGACGATAACTTACAGTATTATAACAGTTGTCGTTTCTGTCTTATGTAAATGTTATTACCGATAAGCTCTTATGTGTTCTTGTTGTTATCTTATTGTCAGCTCTTATGCTCCTGTTGTTACGTTACTGTTGTTTCTTGAAATGATAGAAGGCGCGGTTAAGTTGAATCAATTGTTTTACTTCAGTTGTTAATTTAATACATGACAATAATAATAATACAATATAAATCTATACATTAAAATACAAATGATATACTAAAATACATAATATATAAAGTTGGGGGTGTTTATATAAAATGTAATAATATAATAAATATATTACATTGTTTGGGGGAGTTTACTCGCTTGCTTTGTCGAGAGGCACTACTTGCTAATCAATATCCTTTGCATTCAGTCTTAATGCAGACAACAGACACGTATGGAATCTAAGGCTCAAAGTATAATAACGTTTGATCAATTGCTTTTATTGATTCCATAACATGCTGTGACTACCATTGCTTTCATATAATGAAATAAATATTCATAAAATATATCTCAACTTGAAATGATAGAAGGCAGGGTTAAGTTTAATGAATTGTTTTACTTCAGTTGTTAATTGAATTTAGTGGAGGCTGGGTTATATAGCCTGTTGTAGGAGAGATACGTAGAAGGTAATTTACTGCACGCGCAGAAATCCGACTCGCACTCACCATCGAAATGACAACTGCCTCGCCCACAGTAAGGGAAAATTTATGAAAAGTAGATATACCCCAATTTTCGCTCGACACCTCGGCAATTTCGACTAAAAGTGGTCGGCGAGCACCAGTTTCGTCCTCGCCTTCCCCGAGCACCAGTTTCGTCCTCGCCTTTCCCGAGAAAGGGCAGGGAATAGGGAAAAAAAATTTTTTTTTTTTTTAATTGTCTGTTTCTTCATTCGGGGTCAGAGACATTTGGTACGGGGTGAAGTTGGAGTCTCAACTTAGCTCCATACACAAAGACGAGGAAATATCATCCCCGCCGCGAGCACGGTGCATATCGACTAAAAGCGGTCGGCGAACACCAGTTTCGTCCTCGCCTTCCCCAGGAAAGGGCAGGGGATACGAAAAAAAAAAATTCTGTTTTGTTTCTTCATTCGGTCAGGGTGCGGGGTGAAGTTGGGAGTCTCAAAAAGGTAGGTATGTCTCATCTTCACTCCATAGGCCTACACAAATGCGAGGAAATCTCTTCCCCGGCCGCGAGCACGGTGATTTCGACTGGAAAAGTGGTCGCCGAGCACAAGTTTAGTCCTCGCCTTCCCCGAAAAAGGGCTGGGGATACTCAAATATGAGGAAATTTCATCCCCTAATTGAAGAATTTAGTAGAGGCTGGGTTATATAGCTTGTTGTAGGACGCTGTATCTATAGTCTTAACAGTTTGTTTGTGTCAACCCAGTATAGTAATTACAACCATAGCCAAATCCCTCTATTCAACAAATGAGCTTAATTAACGATAATCCCCTGCCTTCACTTTCAAGGTGAATGGTTCATCTCTAATGAGATTTATAATTAAATGTCAATATGATGAGGGTTAATCTTGAACTTTATTACAGCTGTAGCAACATTGCTTTAGCCCAATAATGAATACATTTACAATAATTATGAAACATATATACATAATATATACAATTGCATAAATATCCAGGAAACACAAATTATTTACAATAGTGAACATCAGTGTTCCCATGAGAAATAAAGATACTGACATATTTTGTACGTTAAATTTTTATCACAGCATTTCATTAGTTCTATAAATTTTCTCTTATCAGGATGCTGATAATAGTATTGTGGAATAAAATTATATCTATATTGATTAAAACAAGGACATACGAGAAGGAAATGAAACTCATCTTCTACACAAGATAACTCACAAAATTTACATATTCTAACTCTCTGGGTGTTTTATTAAATCGACCTGTTTCAATTTCAAGTTTCATACTTCCACTGCGAAAAAGACTTAATATTTCAACATACTTCTTGTTTTTAACAAATGTCAATTAAGGTTCAAAATTAAAACACTCCTTAAATTCATTATAATATATAAGTTTAGATGAAGAGGACATTTCAGCAAACCAACTTTGTACAAAATTATCAATAATACGTTTTTTTAATATTTTAATGACAATACATGATTCATTGAGATAACATTGATTATTCCATATATCAGAAAGTCCTAGATTTTCTAATTCAACTTTAACAAAATATGCCCAGTTTTTCTTACCATTATCACAGTCGGTTTTTAAATTAATATAAACATCATATAACAACAAGTTACGCTTAGATATAACATCAAACCAATATTTAAATATACGAAATTTTCTTATAATATTTAATGGATATCTACCCAATTCCCCTCGTAAAACACTAATATTTGTATTATTGCGAACACTTAATATTCGCCTAAGAAATTCATTGTGTAATCTTTCCCTGCATTAAAACCCCAAACCTCACTATAGTTTAAAATAGAGGCTACTAATGAATCAAATAATTTTAATATGTAATGTACATTGAAATTATAATCGTTAAATATTTTATACAAACCATAGATTGCCTTCCTACCCTGATACGAAATTTTCTTATAATATTTAATGGATATCTACCCAATTCCCCTCGTAAAACACTAATATTTGTATTATTGCGAACACTTAATATTCGCCTAAGAAATTCATTGTGTAATTTTTCGACATCTTTCCCTGCATTAAAACCCCAAACCTCACAACTATAGTTTAAAATAGAGGCTACTAATGAATCAAATAATTTTAATATGTGATGTACATTGAAATTATAATCGTTAAATATTTTATACAAACCATAGATTGTCTTCCTACCCTGATCACATATTCGCTTTTGCGTTTTGGTTAAACTACCATTACTATATAAAAGGATACCTAAATATACATATGAGTCAACAATCTCAAGTTCCTTATCATTTATAAACCACTTTAGACCTGCTGGTTGTCTCCCCTCCCTGAATATAACTATCTTAGACTTATTTTCATTAATTTCCATAATATTCATAAAATTTATTTAACAACAATTTCAAAATTTCGGGTTTTTTTTACTAAAAAGGACAGTATCATCGGCAAAGAGCAACATGAATAATAATCGACCGTTAATTGAATAACAATTTTCATCATTTAGGCTATTGTCAACCAGATATGTTTCTAAATCTTGCACAAAAAGGAGAAAAAGAATAGGAGACAAAGGCGCACCTTGCTTGACACCAAAGTAACATTGGAAGAAATCAGATATATTACCTTTAAACTTGATTGCTAGACTTATTTTACTATACAAAGATTTAATAATGTTAACAAATTTACAGCTAATATTCAGACAATACAACTTATATAACAAATAACATCTATCGATTTTATCAAAACATTTGCGAAGATCAATGAAAGAGGCATATAACTTGCCACGGTTCTCTAATGTTTTATTGATAAGGCTATGCAATATGAATATAGCATCAGTGGTACTGTGGTTATTACGGAATCCAAACTGGCATTCTGGTAGCAAACAAGAAGATTCAACCCATTTGGTTAACCTTTTATTTAATAGTAGCGAAAATATCTTTGCAAAGTTTGAAATAATAGTTATGCCTCTGAAGTTATCAACTAGATTCAGATCACCCTTTTTGGGTACAGGAACCAATAAACACTCAGTCCATTGAGTTGGATAAATACCACTGGTAAAAATAGTATTATAAAGTCTAACTAATATGGGAGCCAATATATCAGAACAATCTAAAAATAATTCACATGGTAATTTATCTAAACCCGAGCTTTTCACTCGTCTCAGAACTGAGAGCATTCACAACCTCTACTATGGTAAAATCTTTATCTAGTTCTGAAATGTTGGGAAGTTCCTCAGTCGAGTAGGTAAATTCATTCGAACTATCATCCTTCGGATATTCACCATACACTTCATGGAAGTGAGAAACAAAATCATTGATTGAAAGACTGCTGTCAATAGAAATACCATTTCTAGATGCCTTAATACGTTTCCAGAAACTCTTTGGCTCCGAATTAGAAAGGTTACATAATTCATCAGCTTGTAAAATCTGATATTCTGACTTTGCGTTTCTGATCACACCATTATACTTATTTCTTGCATTAACATAATTAATTCTAGCTATATGAGATCTACCTCGATAATATTCATTTCTATATTTCTTAAAGTCGTTCTTTGATTTTCTACAATCTTTACTAAACCATTTGTTTTGTATGGCATAATTACATTTATTCTTATTTTTACTAATAGTTTTACCATAGACATTATCAATAACATCATGTAATGCTGTACTTATAAACTCAATTACTTCATCAATAGTGGTCTGGTTTGGATTTCACAAGTTTTCAAGATGGGTATTAAAGGTTGGGAGACAATTATTAACAAGATGAAATAATTCTATTTTACAATTTTTAGTCAATTGATAACTCGAACATTTTGATTGCCAGATAGTTGCTCTTTCTGGGCTTTACTCTTCTGACAACTAATTTTGAACTCAATGGGTGCATGATCAGAAAACTCGTTCATTTCTAATACACTAAAGTCGACTATAGTCGACATACAATGTCGTGGGACAAGTAAATAATCAATGAGAGATTCACCCTTTTTGTTACAGAAGGTTATTCTACCGTCTGATGCATCTAAACCTAAACGACCATTTGCTATTAAACAAGATGTAGATTTACAAAATGAAAGAAGTTTAGATCCAAAAGAATTTGAATTTTTATCACTTGTATTTCTAGGTAAAGGAGGTGAACTGGGATCATTGTCAGATTCAATTTGATTCACATACTCACTCAAATTATCACATGAAATATAGTCAGGATCTGTTGAGCATCTCGCATTCAAATTACCACAAACAAATGTTTTACCTCGCTGTGAATAGATAATATATAACTGCTCTAATATATCAAAATAATCGACATCCAACAGAGTATAAACGGATGATTATACTACAGTAATAATCAGTTATTTATTAGTATATTTATGTGTTTGTTTTGTGTCTGCACTGTCACTTTTTGCTGTTGTCATGTTTATTGGTATAAATTGTTTTTCTCTTGTAACCAGTAAGGGGTCGATTTGGGGAAATAAATTACTTACTTACTTCCTTACTTACTTTTGATTCATTAACCGACCAAGACAAAATGTGTATCCTTTTATCCCACCCTGAAATGTACCAATTAACCGCCAAAACTTGCTGTGATATTTTAAAACATAGAAAATGTACCCTTTATCGGTCAACCTGAATTCAAAGTAAAATTGAAACTTTTATATGTAAAATTAATAGAACTATTTTTACGTTAATATTTGTATTTATATTTGTTTTTGTTGAGTTTTATTGAGTTTTATTATATTTTAAATTTCCGGACCTGTGATAACAATGTTTTAATAATGATGACATGTCTCTCATAATTCTTAACAGAATGGCAGTTGAATTGTGTTTTATTTGTATATATTCTTTATGTATAACTAGTGAGACTTTAATAAAATTACTTACTTACTATGTCACTATTATAAGATTCAATTAATGATTACATGTTATCAATTACATTAAAAAAAGATACTGAAATTATATTCTAAATACAATATTCTACAATTATAATTACAGAATATAAATATTATCAACAACCATTTCAACAAATAGAATTCAATCCATTCACAATAAAAGTTTTCACTTTTATAGTATAACTGAAAACAGTTATATTGTGTACTACTAGCTAACGTTATTTACTCTACATTTCTTCTATGGAATAGTTTGTAATTTTCCCCTCATAAACAGTCACATACTATATAGTAAATCACAAATGTAAATATAATGATGCATAACTTAGTTCAAGATTACCTCAGGCACTAACCTTGTAATATAAAAAATATAAAAAATATTAGGAGATATACAACTTCAAGTAAGTAACAGTTTTACTTTTCAAACACATTCAATCGATAATTTTTCACAAATAAGTCAAGGATATTGACTTTGTTCTTAGATTATTTTTTTTAGCTTTTTTCTGAGACTAGACACGTGTGGACTATATATACCTTATGCGCTGGCTCAATGGTTATTTTTTCCTTGTGCAGAATTCTGAAATATGAACAAACATACATTACAGGTATAGCTGCAAGCATACATAATCAGTGAGTGTAAGCTTTTGTTTCGTAAACAATACCTTATTGACTCACTTGCACTGGTAGAATGTATGTCGAATATGGCATCTGGTTGATAAGGTAAAATAAGTCAAGGCTGTGGTCAGATTGGTTAGTATAGTATATGATAAATATATCGTAAACATTGACCACCGAAACCCTTAGAGTCCACCATGCTACCAACGTTTATTGAATATTTTATTACACACTCAAAAGGTCGATTTCCGTTTATTTATGTTTACACTAGGACATAAATAGCTGATTATATTCGGGTAGAGTTTGAAATCTCATGATCTCTGCTTCTCTCACCTGACGCATGTATTGGATTTACCTATGAAATTGGTGTGCGTTGTTTGCCTCTAATAGGACATATATAGTGTTTTAGGTAGTCTGTACAGAATTAAGATGAACCATGAGGCAAAATTCATTCAGTCAACACAATACATTGATTTACGAAATGGACACCGATAATCTTACTTAAAGTAACGCTACCTCTTAAAATTACAATATAATTTAAATTATCAAACTTGGCTAATTAGCGTATACATTCATCTACCTGGTGTGGCATAACTGTACAACAGCAATAACTGTATTATAGATTTATCAGATTATATAAGGTTTATGTTATACTAGTTCACTAATTAATATATTTTCGTATTGGCCAACTTTCAGCATTTAAAATTTACGAAGACGAAGATTACGGTGTACATTTGGATTGCTTTGAAAACAAGTCCAGTTTTCTAAAATAGGTCAGTTTCTGAAGCCTTTTTGCTTTCGCCTCCACTGACATTCGGTTAATACGAGGCTCTGTTTGTAAATGACTAACTTGGAGGTACAACAAAGAATAAATGTTTTATTTTGTATTCTCCTATTCTGAAGTCGGGGAAATTCAGCTACTGAAATAATCTACTAGGTACTAGTGACTCCATGCTTTGCTCTACTTTGCGAAACAGCTTTATCTTCATAAATGTATTCTAAATATTAAGCGCTTGATAAAAAAATGAATGTGTCCGGAGTCGACTACCACGTGTTATATTACGTGGCACATTTATTGCTAATAAACTTTAAATAGAAAGTTGAACACGAACAGCTGACGACAGTAGAAAATTTCCAGTCCTCATTGCACTCAAGTGGACTTCCAGCAATGGATTCTTCCCAGATGTAATGCCAATTGCTCTCAGACTCCATCAGTTGCAAGCACAATTTGAGCACACATTCAGTCGTAGCAGGAATCAAAAGAGGCAAGTCAATCAGTTTGATCTTAACATGCCTACGAATCGACCGGGCCTAATGTGGCATAGGAGGAACACAGACAATCTATGACTGGTTTTGGTTGGACATTTCAATGATTCCTCTCTTCGAGTTTCATCAACGACCTCTTAATAGCCGTCGTCAGCCGAAACGAAACGAAACGAAACGACCATGTAGTTGTAGCGTAACTTATAACGCTAATCAGTAGATACTGTATCTATATCTGTTGAATTCCATGATAGATATGGATTAACCTTATCACATGTATTTGAAGTGTTATTATTCTTCAAATTGCTATTATGGCTGATGCAAGTAATGGTTTAAAACGAATAGAATAACGCTAGATTGTTCATCCAACTGGATAAGGCAGCACATAAGCTAGAAGGTAAGGGTGTGCGAGAAAGAATCCGTTTCTGTAAAGCGATTACTGGCATCAAGTATGTTTTGGTGGATGATAATGGTACATATGCAATGAATATTTATTTTCAGAATGGACTTTGAAGAGATAATTAAAGCACTAGGCGATTTTGGACCTTATCAAAAACGTGTTTATTTCCTTATGTGCTTAACTTCAACGTTCACAGCTGTTCAAGTCATGGCAACTGTCTTCACCTTTGGTGTTCCTGATCACAGGTAGACCATTTCATTTGCTCTAGACTGCGATAAGAGTACAACGTTTTTCTCTAGTACACTCCTTGTACGAATACTAATTTTACTGTCATATTTAGTAAGGAAAATGAATTTATCGCCACATGTATTTTCATATGATTTGGACAATTATGTTAATTGTTAATTAAGGAACTTAAATTAAATTTTTAAATCAAAGTTAAACCTAGAAAACATACTTCCAGTACGGTTTAAAAAATCTAAACTATCCATAATACTGTTTTGAAATGCATCTAAACTGCAAGCATTGTTACAGAGTGTAAATAATGATTCCAAATTCTGATGATGAGTGGTTTCATATAATATGTTTGTATTCTGTTTGATTCACCTAAAAACCATAGGTAGAACGCTTCTAGACTCTTATTCCAGATTGCAAATTTGGTAGCCTATATAAATTCAGTAAACAAATGTCTATACATAGAAGTTTATCTGATCCAGGTTCTGACCTATATTACCTGCCAAACACGCTTATCTTTGATCAGGTTTAACCCAGTATTCAACTTTCAATAATAAATGCCGTGTGCACTGAACATGTGTGACAGTACGCCAACTTCATTTGTAAACGTCCATTGCATAAAATAGAGGGATCTGCTAGGGAAATAATCAATGGATAGTCAATAAGGTCAAAAACCAAGGTTGGCTTTGTACAAACTGGGTGAGCACGTAATATATGTATCGTATTAGAACATTACATATTATTGTCGCCTTAGTGGCTCAACTACCACATGGACTGGTTGAACCATCTCCTCGGCCCCCCCCCCCCCTCCCCCCCCCCCCCCCCATCCCTAAGAGAGCCCCGCCTTCAGGGAAAATGAAGAAGAGCGTGTGTTAAAACACAAATTACCCGGGAAGTGGCCTCAACCCACTTAAATCCATGGGCCCCAATTCATCTAGTTGAACCAATGTGTGGCCTCATGACTTATCCACGAAACATCATTAATAGTTGTCGGAATATGGCACTGCAAGAACTGTTACAACCAAGGTTTTGCGTTCAATTGTCCGATATAATAGTTTTCGAACAAAAGTTTATGAGTTCAGTTTCCCATGTTTGTGGCATACTCGTTTGAAACAGTGCACTGTTTTCTTACATGAACGCAAATGAAATATATATCTTTCAGATGCAGTATACCAGGTGTAGAGAATGATACTTATAATACAGGGAGCTTTTCCTCTCAGGAATATCATTATAATAATAGCATTTACAGAGAATGTACAATAACAGAAGCTTCTGATAATACAACATCAACTAATCCAAATGTCTGTCACCAATGGGTTTATGATAAGTCAGTGTTCGAATCGACCATAGTATCAGATGTAAGTATATGAAAGGACACTATTGGAAAATAAAATAACTAACTCACAGCTCTCATATCTAATTAGCCTACAACAACGGCGAGACTCAGAATCTCCTTATAATGAATATTTGTTGGTCCTGTCTAACGTACAGATTAACTGTCCGACTAAGCAATATACTTCTTTGCGCAAGAACACCAACTTATAAACATATGTTTTTGACCTTGGGATATACAATGATTTTTCGTGTTTTAGATGGATCTAGTGTGTGATAAAAAGTTAGGTAAATCTCATGCTCAGATGCTGATTATGTTGGGACAAGTTACTGGTTGTGTACTGGTTGGTCCATTATCAGACCTGTAAGTATGTAAACATTTAGATAGTTTTCACACGAGGGTTTAATTCAAAGTCTGTCAAAAAGGTGGGCATATTGATGATTGGAAATTGTCATTTAATAGCTTTTTGACTTTAATCTCTAATTAAAGATCCAAATTATCATAACCAGATTAATTTCAACACTGTCATAGTTATCAGCAATTGTACAAATAATCATCTAAACATTTTGTTGATGATCATCTATACAGTTGATGATTATCCATTGCCTATCATCTAAACAATTGCTGATGATCATCTAAATCTAAACAGTTGTTGATGATCATCTAATCAGTTCCTGATCATCCAATGCCTATCATCTAAACAGTTCCTGATCATCCATTGCCTATCTTCTATCTAAATCTAAACAGTTGTTGATGATCATCTAAACAGTTCCTGATCATCCATTGCCTATCTTCTGTCTAAATCTAAACAGTTGTTGATGATCATCTAAACAGTTCCTGATCATCCATTGCCTATCATCTATCTAAATCTAAACAGTTGTTGATGATCATCTAAACAGTTCCTGATCATCATTTGCCTATCATCTATCTAAATCTAAACAGTTGTTGATGATCATCTAAATAGTTCCTGATCATCCATTGCCTATCATCTAAACAGTTCCTGATCATCCATTGCCTATCTTCTATCTAAATCTAAACAGTTGTTGATGATCATCTAATCAGTTCCTGATCATCCATTGCCTATCATCTATCTAAATCTAAACAGTTGTTGATGATCATCTAAACAGTTCCTGATCATCCATTGCCTATCATCTATCTAAATCTAAACAGTTGTTGATGATCATCTAAACAGTTCCTGATCATCCATTGCCTATCATCTAAACAGTTCCTGATCATCCATTGCCTATCATCTATCTAAATCTAAACAGTTGTTTATGATCATCTAAATAGTTCCTGATCATCCATTGCCTATCATCTATCTAAATCTAAACAGTTGTTGATGATCATCTAAACAGTTCCTGATCATCCGTTGCCTATCATCTATCTAAATCTAAACAGTTCTTGATGATCATCTAAATAGTTCCTGATCATCCATTGCCTATCATCTATCTAAATCTAAACAGTTGTTGATGATCATCTAAATAGTTCCTGATCATCCATTGCCTATCATCTAAACAGTTCCTGATCATCCATTGCCTATCATCTAAACATTTCCTGATCATCCATTGCCTATCATCTATCTAAATCTAAACAGTTGTTGATGATCATCTAAACAGTTCCTGATCAACTGTTACCTATCATCTAAACATTTACACCATTGACATTTAATTCACAGATTTGGAAGAAGATCAATGTTGATGACATTTCTTATCATTCTGATCATATCCTCCATTGCTGTAACGTGGACACCAATGATAGGCTTACATTTAACCTTGGCATTTTATTTCTTTATTGGAACGAGTATATCAGGAAGTTTCACTCCAGCGTTTGTTATAGGTATTTTTTTTTTAATTAATATTTTATAAACTTTGATCGAAGTCAACTAATATTAATAAATTCCATAATAATATATATTTTCATTATATATAAAAACACAAATAATATTTTTTTTTCCTCATTCACTTGGACACATGCAAATAACGAAACTAACAAAATTAGAACATGGCCTTTCTTTTAAGATAATAATACATTCGTATCAAGTTCAATGGAAATTGTTGGAAGGCTAAAGGAAGTACAACATTTGAAACCAAGTAATAAATACAAGGGTGATAACTCTAATTCCAAATCGTTACAAACTGCTCCAATTCAAACATGAAGTTCATTTTTGGATTATTTACTGGTTATTAATTTCAGGTTTAGAATTGGTGGGGCCATCTAAGAGAGTATTCACCGGAATAATAACAGAACTATTTTGGTCTGCTGGTTTAGTTATATTATCCGGGGTAGCCTACTGGATTAAAAACACCCAATATCTTCAATTAGTTATATCAGTTCCTAGTTTAACTTTGATTTCTTTTTTCTGGTAAGACAAGCTCAATTTTGAGCCTTTCTATCTCCCTAAGCACAAGATGGTGATGTGCTCTGTAGTGGAATAATGTGGTCACGGAAAACGAAGTGTAATGGACTTTGCTGAACCTGTCAAGGAGAGCCATATTTTGCCAATAAAGGGAACGCCCAAAGTTTCGGATAAATAAGCGTGAATTAACATGAATATTTGATGAACTTGTCTCATGTTTTCAGGTTTGTTACGGAATCACCAAGATGGCTGATAAATAAAGGTCGATACAGAGAAGCTGAAAAGATAATCCGTGAAGCAGCTAGAGTCAATAAAGTTGTTCTTCCAGAAAGAATATTTAGAGGTCGTTCCAGATCTAAAGATGTCAAACAAATGTCCATTTTGAAAATATTTTCTTCAAAGATTCTTTTATCCAGAACATTAGTTTTATATTTCATTTGGTAAGATATCTATTATTTTCGTGGATGACTGGTACAGAGTTTCAGTATCTAAAAATGTACTTAGGTATTAGGTATGCAGCTGAATCTCATTCTGAATCTGAAACACATCCAAATCCTTAAGTCCCTGGTGATGCAAAATAACAAAAAGTTTTCTTGATATTCCTTTTCCAATAAAAATATTTTTTTAAATTTTTCCAGGGCCGTATGCAGTTTAACCTTTTATGGACTATCTTTAAATGCTGGTAGTTTAAGTGGCAGTGTGCATCTGAATTTTTTCCTATTGTCGGTAATTGAAATCCCAGCGTATATAATATGTATTGTATTATTGGATCGTATTGGTCGGCGATTTTTACAGTGTGGTTCATTGTTACTTAGTGGTACTTGTTTATTATTATCAGTATTTACTGTATTATATACCGATAAATGTAAGTTTTAAATTTTATTTATCTAGGTGAAGTGTTGAAATCTATATCATAGAAAAGGACACTCTGTTGCAGTCTGATGAAACATAACAAAGAACACTGTCACAATCTGAGGAATATAAGAAAGGACAGTCTGATGAAAACCGTAAAATACACTCTGATACAATCTAATGAAACATAACAAAGAACACTCTGTTGCAATCTGACGAAACATAACAAAGAACACTCTGTTGCAATCTGATGAAACATAACAAAGAACACTCTGTTACAATCTGATGAATATAACAAAGGACACTCTGTTACAATCTGATGAATATAGCAAAGGACACTCTGTTACTGTCTGATGAAAATAGTAAAATACACTCTGATACAATCTGGTGAAACATAACAAAGAACACTCTGTTACAATCTGATACTGTCTGATGAAAATAGTAAAGGACACTCTGTTACAATCTGATAATTTTTTTATAATATGCTTTCGGAAAGTTTTTTAGATCAGTCAAGCAGAAACTGATTTAAACTAACATATTTTTCCAATTTTCCAATAATCTTCATTATATTTCACTTTCTCAGCTTTAGAATGGATCACTACATTATTAGCTGTAATTGGTAAAATGGGTGTCACAGCTGCATTTGCTATAATATGGATATATACAACAGAATTATACCCTACTGTTTTAAGGAATTCTGGTGTAGGATCGAGTAATCTGATGGCTAGAATTGCTGGTGCTATCTCGCCTTATATAGCTAACCTGGTAACATACTTTATTTCATCCATGCGTTCTTTCTATGCCATGTTAATCTGAAAATAATTTACTTTTGTTAGATGGTGATGAGAACATAGTCTTATAAAAGCACTGGTCAAATATTTATAATAAAATGAGCTGCAAGCTAAAGGTTAAGAAACTTAGAAGTTTTGCGTACACTTTATTTTTATATTGTTGTTTAAATAATTATCCCATGAAAGGGGAAAATACCGCGATTTCATCCCTCTGTAAGATTTTATTTAGGAAATAATCGCTAAAGACATGAATATAAAAGTTTTAGAATTACCTTCCTGAATTCTTGTTACTTCAAACAACAGTCAATCAATTTTTATTTTCAGCAAACATTTCTTGATGGAGACATTGGTAAAGTGGCTCCGTTGATAATATTCGGGTTAGCTTCAGTATTAGCAGGTTTATTAATGTTATTTTTACCAGAAACTAAAGGTAAACGATTACCAGAAACAGTTGAAGACGCGGAACAGTTTACTCAGTAAGCAGTCAACTTCTCTTCTAGATTAAATCGATTTTTACGTCTTACCTTTCTTCATTATTGAACACGAGCGACACTATGAGAGAATTTTGTTAAGCTGAAAATCCAAAGTTTAATCGTTGAGAGTACCAACGCTCCTTTGGTTTTAAGAAAACAATCGTCAAGCTGGTTGATATCGGTAGATCTTGTGCGAATTCGATGTCTTTTGACTGATTGTTTTTAATTTATGTCGTAGCTTCTTATTCTCCGACGGTCGTTTGATGTCTTCGATTTTGAAAAAGTGAACCTTCTTATCAATTTTATAATATATCAGCGTGTATGTTGAGACTGAACTCAACTTATATCTGTACTTGAGTAGCGCAACTGATGCCTTTGTTTTTTTATTCCCAATGATATCTTTTTTTTCAGAAAACCGAGCACTGTTTTAAATAGAGAAGTAAAAGAAGAACTTAAAGTATTAAATACTGTCTTATAGCATTGATATAATGTAAAACACAGTTTCCAAAGAAATACAAAATGTTTTCAGCTTCCAAGTAATGGGCGTCATGTTCGCTTTTTAAATTATGTCAAAGATGTTACAAGATTTAATGCTGCGAATTAATAAACTGAATTTTTCTGTTCAAGCATTTTGTTTACCATGACTGCATTGGTTAATAAAGAATGAACTGTTTTTTTTCAAATTTAGCTTATATCTCAACTGATTAACATTGGCCAACAATTAACTTTTAACATGTCTTTAGAACAGGATTATAAAATTCTGAATACACTTGAACAAATTGTTTTCATGAAAATAGTTTTAAGCACAGCTCCTTGGACCAATCTCGAAGCTGTCAAAAATTCTTCCATGAACTCGGGAAAACTGACCCAGACAAAATCTGAGTTCATCTGTCCTTTAAATAAACAGTTTCTGAAGGTTTCATAAAAAAAAGGTTGCCCTGTCTTCCCCCCTTTCAGTTTCTATATTGTTGTCGATGAGTTCTTAACTGAGCCCCCTTTGACGATTCTGTGGACCCTTCTCAGGACCTTGCAGCTCTTGATTCATGTTACCAACTGTTAACAGGTAATGTCTTTGAGAATCCGATCTATTGCTGGATTTTATAGAATTGAATTCAACGACTACCTGTCATCGACCAGAGAAGTCAAAATGACCACCCAATGTAATACCCTTGTAAGTCAAAGTCTTGTTGACTGCGATGTACAGTTCCATGTACGCTAAAAAAAATCCTTCCAAAATCTATCATTGTAAAACAATGGTTTCGCAAGTACATGTATGATGGCTTTTTCAACTGTACAACTTCGAGGTTATTTCTTCGTGTATCAACCTTCATGGCGATATGCCAGCTAAATTTCTGAATGGATAAAACATGTCCATACGAATGTTTTTCCGCGAAGTAACTATTTCCGCGAAGCTTGTCTTCTATTGGTTGGTTTGTGTATTTCGCAATCAAACACCAGTATAAAGGCATGCCCCGTTACAAAGATGTTAAAATATAATATATTATGTGATACTATGAAATATATAATGGACAGAAAGAGATAAAAGTATAATCAGTATTAAAACTATACAGGGAAAATAAAATTATATTAGGTGGGTATATTTATTTTTCTTACATATTCGGTCAGATTGAATTTTTGATCTATGAATATACATTCAGTCATTTAGCAGTACCATTTGTCCGCATTGAGAAAATCCGCACTTCTAAGGGATTTGGCGCTTCCGCTTTCTTTCAAATCTTAAGTAGCACGCAAAGATACCGGACCTGGACATCCAAAACACTTAATTTCAGATCACCGAGGCACACACGTTAAAAAGGGACAGGTGGGAGATTTTCGGGGGTTTGAATAGTCTTCAAAACTGTACATAATTCCTTCAAAAAGATATGTTTGGATTTGAAGTCTCAAATTTCGACGGTAAGCTGTGAACATTATTACGATTAGTTTAGCGGTACCATTCACGTTTCTGAGACTCAGGTATGATTAACTCCCGGAAATGTCACCACTGTCCCTTTAAGGTTCAAAATCTTTAACTAGTAGTTATCTCTCATCAATCAATTGGAACACAATAAGGTCAAATAAACAACCTAGATATTCTATGATAACTTTACTTTGGCCTAGATGTGGTCAGCAAGTTTTGATAATTTTGTGTGAACTTTATACTCCCAGTCCAGTTTAGGTGCCAATAGGGTTGCAGAGGGACATTTGCAACCCATGGAATTTGGTTTGTAGCAAGTTCTAGGAAGCTGACATCACTAACCCGCCACTGTCAACGAAATTGATTTTCTTGCCGACCTTCTGCCGAACAGGCAAAACATTTCCATACAAATTTTCCGCTCCTGCTTCAATAATATGCAAAGGTAATAGGTTGGCTACAAGTATTCAGCGCAACTCTGCTGCAAATCACAATCCAGAAATTTTATGTAGTTTTCCGTTATTTCCATCGTCCCGTATAAACCAATAAAGATTCAACGCCATATGGTTTGCAATGATGGACATGTACTCTTTCTCAACTTTCAGTTGTTAATGAATCTTTAGCGTAAAAAGCCTTCCCGAACGATAAGATCTTTGTAAAACAATAACATTTATTTCAGAAGCCCGTCAGAGCCAAGAAAAATTTCACAATGTTAGAAAGGGAAATGGTACCGGAGTATGATTTTAGTTTAAAAGACAGGAAGTGGTCACCTTGGCAGTTGATTTTAACCAGCAATATCAATTACTCCAAAAAGACAGATTGGTACCAATATAAATCCTTTTACGTTAAAAAGAACATAGAAATGCTAGAGGATAATAATCCTTCATTATTTGAACTGGCGATACAAATACAACCAGGATCAAAACGACACGTTGTATATAATCACATATCAAGATGCATTACCGGGAAAACGTGGGAACGCCGGCTATTCGCACAGAGGAACATTAGAAAACAAGTTGACAAAGTCGCGCAACGAGGATTTTCATTTTATTTACGTCGACTTCCACTTACGGATGCCAAAATGGAGAGAAATATTGTGAACATTTTAAAGAAATATGACTATGCTTGGAAGAAAATTCGAAATAGAAGATCTTGTCACCGCCGAGTGGAAATTGGTCATCATCTGATATCTGATAATAGTTTATAAACGTCAGAAGCAATTAAGAGACGAAGACATTTTTCATACTGATAAAAGGCAAAAAATTTAATAGACATCTTTTATTTGTTTTTTTCTCTCAAGGTTTAAGATTTGTTCAGAGAACTTTGGTTGGACATCATTTTGACAATAAACAATTCACAACAACAGATGGTCAAAAAGTGGACATATCAAATCAGTGCTAGAAGAAAAAGTAACATTACATTTACAAAAAAAATTACACTGTTAAAAAAAGGAAATAAATGAAAAATAGACAAAATTTAAAATAGACATTTATAGATATAATAAAAGAAAGAAAAAAGTTAAATTGGGCTATTAAACAGTTGTGATTATGTGCACATTTAACATTGACTGCAATAGTCTAATATGTCAAAATATATTAATAATTATTTTACAGTAGCAGGCTTTTATCTTAAAACTACAACTGAACACAATTTAAATCTTAATTTTTAAGTGTAAAAACTAAAGATAATTCTAAGAAAGTATTAAAATATTTCCCATGCAGAAGAGCAATAGTTCTAACGCAAAAAATTAAGTTTTGCTCAATATTTTTCAGTACATACAATTGTGTTCTAATTTAAATGCCAACCCTCATTATTATCAAAAAAATTCAAAACTGACTGACTCATCTCAAGTTAAGTTACTGTGAAAATTTGTTTAGTGAAGGAAAAAAGCCAGTTACCATTTCTTACAACAGGGTTGAAGTCAATGAACTTGCCAATGTTAATTAGTAACATTCAGAGATTGGAGAAGAGTCATCAAGTTTTTCTAAATAATGCTAATGCCATTAGGAACTGTATTATGCTTCAGAGAAAGATTCCAGGAATGTCAATAAACAGTTTACACTGAGTTTCAGTTATTTTGGTAAACATTTTAGTGAATTCTCACTATCAAAAAGATGTTGCTCTTCAATGAAAAAACTATAAGCATTAAGCCTGCACAGATTGGATATTAATGCTTTTTCATATTTCTATAATATTTGTAAGAATTAAGAATTGTGTACTTAGATAAAGAAATGGTGTAAATGGTAAAATTTTTGAAATATTTTTTTTGCAAGCTCACAACATTAATGATGGCAGTTATATCAATCCCTGTTATGTGTTTAATTTCTTTATGCATTATACAATCTAATCTCAAAATGTTTACAGAAAGTAAAAATAGGCTTCATGAATGAACTGGTGAATAATTTAGAAAGATCAAGATTTCACATTAGAACAGAGTGGTGATATTTATGATAATTGGTGCAAGAGCATCATCATTTATTAGTTAAGCTGTGTTAATAAGCCAATGAGAAGACTATGAAAGCTCTGAAAATTCACATTTACACAGATTTGCTTAGAATAACAAGTGAAGTGATCTTAAAAAATATTATATGATTTTTCGCAGATAATTTATGAAAATCTGCATAAATATAACATGCCCAAAAATGATCTATTTCTTCAAACAATCGTCAACTAACCAGTGTTTTTAAGTACACAGATTATATGGAGATTATGCATGTATAATTTGTATCATTAACATAATTAGGTATAATACTGCAATAATATGTGATAAGGACAAATACCTTAGAAATTAACATAAAAACATACAGATAAAGTACATTAAATTCTCAAATCTTAAAGCCAATACAAATACAGATCTTAGTTTTTCAAACAACTAATGGCTGTGTTCTCAAACAGTGACTATGTAATTCATAAATATTGGATTGTATAGAATTTTAATTAGCCAGTTGTGTATGACAGGCGAAAACAATACCCAGAAAGGATTAATTTCTTTCTAAATATATTGAATTAAGGCCAGTTGCAATAGTGCAAATGCCTAACAATTTGAATAACCCTGTTATATGATCACAAGAAAAAACATCCAAAATACTGGATGACTGAAAGTCCACAATGGGTTAAAAACATTCCAGAAAATTCTGAACACAGCCTCAATTAACAACAAAATATGAAGGTAGATGGGAAAAAATAGATTATAATTATTATTATGTAAAATTGATTTATCTTTAAATAATAAATGTTTATCTATATACATGCATAATAAATATTAAGAAGATTATATTCCAGTTTAGAATATTATTAAAATAGTCATAATTATACATCTTTAAAATTCTACATCAAGCCAAGATTTCTACTAAATTTTATCAATGTGCAAGACCCTGCATTGAAATTACAAAATATAATTATTATAAAAAAAAGTGTATACCACTAGTGCTAAATAAGATTATAACTAAAGCTTTCAAAATCAGAATTAAACCACACTTGTGATGTCTCTGAGCAAATAATTCAAACTATTTCAATCCCACATCAGTATTATGCTTTGAAAATTCTGATTTGTGTGTACTTCTACAAGGTCTAGAGTGGCTTTTGACAAATATAAATATTCTTTACACTCAATATTGAAATATATACTTATCTATAAATTAAGGTTAGCACTCAGAAGGAATGAATATGATCAAATGAAAACAAAAAGACGGTAATGCTAGCAAATTGCTGCCCAAATACTTAATATATGAGCTTTGAATTTGTTATACATATACAAGTAATGTATATATATTACGGAAATATATTTCTTATTATAATGAATATATAATTTGACTAGCTTACTAGAGTGATTCAGGTCGGATTAAAAAAAAGACTTGATAAAGGTGAGTGAATGAAGTAAAAGCACTATAGACGTTTAGTGGTTGTTTAAAAAGGGTAATATCAAATATAGCTTAATTATGAAATCCATCAATATTGCACAGGTCTAAAATTGATAATAAAAGATTAAAGGATTTCAAATATTTTTGAGAAGGGTACAACACCTACAGTTATGAAACAGCGGAAAAGTACAAAAAAAAAGAAAAAAAAAATTTAAAGCGGCACAAAATATCCTTGTGCCCAGTTAACATATTCTTCAAGTGAACACTTTATACAAGATAAGAAATAGTGCATCATAAAAAGGAATCATCTCAAAAACCATTCTCAAGTAAAGTATGTCAACATTTTTTCATTCCAAATTGAATATAGTGCCTACTGTTACCCAATCTTTTGTAGTATAAAGTTTTCAGCTTTAATGTTTTTAATTCATAAAGAATATGAAATGAACTGAACCTCTCCTGCATCAAATTCTCAAAGTCCCACAAATGTAGGGATCATAAAGTGCCATTAGGCATGGGAGTTGTTTATAAGTTGGAATAAAATTGTGTTTACAACAAACGATGCAGAAGAGGTCAGCTGTAAACAGCTAAAGGCAAAATGCCTATAAAGCTAAGAAAATCATTAAATAAAATATTGGCTAAAAATTCTATTTAGAATGTGGTGTTGAAGCACTTCCTGAACGATGAAAATGGACATTCTGCCATTTGTTTTCTTTCCTTTGCCAAACTCTTGTCTCTTCTGATTGCATTGTGACAGGAAGGCCATTTCTAGGAAATACAAATACTTATGTTATTAAAATTCATTCAGAAAATTAGAAAACTTATTAAATTTCAAAAACTTGAATTAAAACTGAGCTGTGTATTAACACTGAAAACAAATCCATACAACTGACATATTGCTTTTATGTCAAACAAAATAACTACACTTTCAGGCTAAATTTGGCACCTACCTGTCAATGTATTGTGTAAGTCTAACATAAGCAATACATGCAGAATCTTCACCTAGTAAATGTACATGAGGACTTATGATGCTTGTGTTCACAGCCTTATTATTTTTTGACAAGACTGAAAATAAAAACCATTATTTATTAAATATCTGAAAGATTTCCATCCAAACTGGCTACTTCACACAGAATCTGGCATATGAATAAAAGCAAAACTATATTTTATAATATGGAATAATGAATAAACATCATTCTTCATTAATATAGATATTACATATTTAAATCCTACCACTTTTACACTAAAACTTGAAATGTTTTGTCAATTATAATTGACTGGCTGAAAATGCACTTTAATATAGTATATAAGCTTATAATAAGATGATTCCCTCATTTAACCAAATATTAACAATTTTCTTCACTTCTCTGTTCTATTTGGGAAGGGTGGATGAATTTCTTTCTATTGATAATAAACCAAAGCTATGCTCAACAAGCTGTTAATGTTTAAAATCCCTCTGGTTTTGCAGCATGTGGAATAGAATTATAATTCCTGTGAGAGTAATGTAAAAATGCTACCACTGTTGGTACTTTAAACAAACAAATAAATATATCCAATTGCTTAATCTTTCCACAATTACAGTAAATTAACAACATTCATAACATTTATAGGTAAACATTTAATTAGCCACAGAAACATCAAGTGATACTGATTAACAATGAAAGAAGAGTTAGCTGAAAGAAAAGTTAGCGATTGAGTGTATTGGACTAAATAAAAAGTTATATATGTGTTCAATAGTTTAAAAAGCTTTCATAGAAGATGCTAGGATTTCCCTTCTGGCCAATGCTGAAAATAATTATAGCCAATCACAACTGGACTTAAACTGCAGCCACATGCCAATTTAGGTGCTTTATGCAATCTCTATCATGTTCAATGTCAATTACATCAAAAGATGCAAACTTGTATTTGTAACTTGTTTGTGTATGTACATATTTTTTTGTTAAATTCATGTCATGATTTATCTCATCACTAAGAGCTAGTATATACATGTGGTTAGAAAAAAATGTGTAAATTTATACAGATCATGCTATTATATATTTCAATACATCTTAACATGCAGAGTGGTACTAATACAGAAGAAGAACAAAATGCACATTGTAAACACAATAAACAAAAGAGGAAACATTGTTCTCAGACACTACATTTAAAACATGATCTAAGTATATCTGGTATCTACACTGTACAGACAGGGTTATAAATAGTTTAAAGTTATACCCGTAGCATGACGAGAGAAAGTGTTGTCACTCTTCGGGAGGTACTGAGCCACTCCAGCAGTACAAGCTCCTAGCAAAGGGAAAAAGCAAGTTTGTTTTGTTAACAATCTTATTATAATTCTAATATGAATAATGCAATGGTATGATAATATGCTGGTTAATATGAATACATCATCTACAAGGGATAAAACAAGGTGAACCATTTAGTCTTGTTCTATTCAATAAAAATATTAATGAACTACACAAACACAAATTAATAGCACACAACTATTAGTAATCTATACAGAAATCAGGAAAGAAAATGAAATAAAGAAAAATTATGAGAAAATAAGGAATAATCAACCTAAATCAACACAAAAGTGTCTGAGAACGGTTTTCCATTACAAATACTTTAAGCATAAGGAAAAAAGAATCAAGCACAATGCTGAACATTAGATGATTACAAAGTATGCTTATAAAGATAAAGATAGTCAGAATAGGGCAAGCTTAAGGGATATTAATAAATGATTGCAAGACATAGCAAGGAATACACTCACATGGCAGTTAAATGGATTGTAAAGAGGCTTTCTAAATTTTGTATGTGGACACAGATAGCATCAATAAGAATCCATGCCAATTTTCAATCAGACATCTATGGTTCCTGCAATTCCTAAAACTAAGTGTTTGATGATGTCACTAATCGCAAGAACTACAGACATCTTACAAAAAATTGGAATATTGTAAATTGGTGCTATCAGTGCCCTGTTCTACAAAATATTTAGACAACCTCTATACAATCCCTATGATAAGCTTTGACAATGCTGGTATACAAGAACCTTATGGATAGATGGACCAAAAGACAAGTTGAAGTAAAGAAAGTGTGACAAAATTATGCACCAATACGATGTGAAGATATGAGAAAGTATGAATTGAGTATGATATCTTATTAATGTGAGGTTTGGGGAATGTGATATATGCTACAGATCCTGAAACAGCCTTGGCTTTTGATAAATTAAGATTCAATAGTGTTTGCCAATGGGTTTAAGAACATGTACAAAGTATCTGAAAGTTGACTGGAGTATAAATAAGTAATAAAATTTCATCTAGTCTAAGTTTGTTTAAAACAATAATATAAAATATTCCCGTTATACAAGAGAATATAATCTAAGAACAATGCTTATTATTAGTATAGGATACAAATATGCCAATATATATTTCAAATGACTGACAGTCCTTTAAATTACTAACTACCAGTAGATATTAGATTGAATTAATTAAGTAACACAAGACAACTAGGCCTACTCCATGTTTGACTTTCAATATTTGCCAAAATAGATGCAGTAAAGAAAAAAGATTAAGGTCACATTAATGGAATTGTGGATATAAAAGTCTTATAATAAAAAAAAAAAAAAAAATACAAAAATTTTTCTTTTAATAGAAAATATTTTAGGAACACTCACCATGATCAAAATAAAATTTATGGAAGTCCATACCAACTATAAGATTTCCTAGAGCTTCTGGTTCAAAACTGGTCAAATTAGGATCTATCAATTTCCTAAAATAAATCAATAGATCAATGCAATGAGTCAGAGTCAGTCACAGGACAAAATTTTCAATACAAAATAACTCATTTTTTTCAATATTTTAATCATAACAGAAATGGATAGGGAGGCTTCTATGATCGCTTAAGAAGGCTACTAATAAGCCTTATATATTTGAACAAAATATTCTTGCTTTATGTTATAACACAAATTTCAATTCTTAATAACTTACGTGTAAGTATCAAAATCTCCACTAGTTATAGCTTGTAATAACTGTTCTGTTAGTTTAATCACTTCTTGCTTTCGACCTGGTAATACAAATAGACATTTAGCGATACAGAGATACTCTTCTTTGCATTATATTTTATGCAATTGAGAAATTGTTGGTGGTGGTATTGTAAGTGGTAGAAAAAAATCAATGAAAAGTCACTGCACTGCTAATATATGGCACAAAAATGACTTTGTTACCATGGAATGATTTCAACAGAATTTTGAGAAACTTCAAGAGCAAGTAAAGCAAAAGATATTACATGCTCTTGAGTCAAGTCTTGCACAAAATCCAAAATCTGGATACAAGTACAACTAACTTGATGTAGGCTAATGCTTTTAACTAAAACTAGTTGGTGTAACTAATTGTATAACACAGCATTTAAAGAACTGATGCCTGCTCAAAAAAGTACACAAATGGATGAGAGTTGTTTTGATAATATAATAAGAAATTCATACAATCAAGTTGCTATTGAAATTTGGATTTAACTGCCACATGTAAACAACTCCTTTTATGAATGTGCGAGACAAATGTCAGTACAACCAGACTCGTCAAGTTGTGTGACAAGTGTGGGCACTACTACATGTATATAGTTGTGTGTCAAATGTCGGTACAACTACCGTTATCAAAGTGTGTATACAACTAAATTTATGAAGATGTGTGTCAATGTCAATACAACTAAATTAGTTATGAAGGTTTATATATAATCAGTAAAACTACATTTTTGAAGGTGTGTGTGTCAAATGTCAGTACAACTACATTAACTATGAGGTGTGTCTAATTTCAGTACAACTATATTTATTAAAGTGTGTGTTACATTTCTTAAGTACACCTACATTTTTTTAGAGGGTATCAAATGTCAGTACACATCACATTGTTTGAAGTGAGTGTGTCAAATGTCAATACAACTACATTTATTAAGGTATGTGTCAAATATCAATAACTTCAATTTTGGCTCATTGTTGATGCAGTAGGCCTACATTCTAATTCAATTTATCAGGAAATCCTACGTACAGATATGCCTACATGTGTCTCTATCAATGGTACCAGTACCACAAGTTTTTCAGGATAAATGACAGATTTGTTTACAATGTCCATAAGAAATCAGCTGTATCTTGTCAAGGTCAAGACAGGAGATAAATTTAGAGATCAGTCAATCTACACAGATTATAACAGGTATAATCTTAATAACCTATTTTTCTTCTCATTGACTTTACAAGTTAAGACTAATGATAAATAGCTTACAACGTCGTGAAGATATTCCTTAAGTGTATGGTCAATACCAATCAATAGTACTATTAGTAATCCCAAAATACCACAACAAAACTAGATGCTTATTTTCCATTGTTCCCTTATTAAAGCAATAAGAAATTCTAAACTGCAAACCCAACTTCAGTTGAATGAAGATGACTATATTACTATTTTAAAAACCAAACCAATTAACAGTATGTTGAAACAAGGGTCACGGTCACTCTATTGCTTTGTATAGTTTTTGGAAGCACCTGTTATTATCAAGGAAGTTTTCCATTTTCCATGACTTGTGTTCAATAGTCAAACAATTATGGCCATAATAAATGACATTGTTCAAATTTTCAATTTTTTTTGGACAAAAAGCTTTAAAACATCTAGCACTGAGAAGCTACTTGAATACCATGAAACAGTAGGTAACATCTAGCAGGACTGAATATTACAAGACAGTAGCTATTTTGTATAGAACACTCAGAATCAAACAATACAATGGTTAACACCTTAGAAAACATGGTACATGGATTGAGATAGAGATGTTAGTATATTTGAAGAACAAGTGATGTTAGTTTAACTAATGTGATGTGAACAATGGGGGAGAGTTTGTTTTTGACGTCACACTTGAACTCAATACTCACAATCGGTTTCTGGTTTATTCAAAATAGCTACTAATGAAATTAAAAATACCAAATAACATTATAAGCTATGTGGACCCTCCTAAAGGCATGTCTAGTTGATATACCCAGTTAGGGAATAGCATGAAATGAGCCTGTCTTTTTATATTCATATGAATACAAAATATTTTTGAATCCCTTATTAGCATTTTGTAAACAATATATGGAAATAGGTGTTAGATTTGGATGCTTTGTTTAATACTTGAGACATCTGTACAATAATTATTGAACTAATTCTGCCTTCGACTAATTTCCTGTTTGTAAGTCACTTCATAAAGTATTGATTTCAGATCCTAAGTATTAATACTAATTGTACTTACTTTTACTATCCTCATCTTCTATAGTACTGCTATCTGTAGATTCCTTTATAGCATCATTCTTTTTAACATTTAAACTTCGACCTACAAATCATTAAACAATTTAAATAAATCAAAAACTGTTCAAATAGTCAAGAAAAAATACATCTAACTTACTTAACAGGATAAAAGCTAAAACAAGTGTAACAACTTTCAAAACTTTAATAACATAAAATTAAGTTCACAATCACAAATCTGAAAGAAAGCATTATACATGATATTTACCCAACATAATCTATGATTTTTATATAAATTTCATAAAAATTATAAGTCCATAATGAACACAATTACAATAGAAAAATATTTACCCTTTTTATTGTAATACACATGTAAAATAGGTCTAATATTTGCATTTTGCTTAGTAGTTAACACTTTATAATCCATTCGATTTTCTTTTGGCAGCATATTTTGACCATGTCCAAGTCAAGAGAATAGCAGAGATAATAGAATTTCCGGTAAAGGTGTTTAGAATTAATACTAATGAATAGTAATAGGAATAGTACTATTATTTGTGCACCAATCAATATCACATCAGTGAGTGCTATTATCAGTATCTGACACTAGTCGTCATTATTATCATAACTTAGCAGTGAATATATACATATAGTGCTCTCTATATATATAAGCATAGCTTTATGCATAGAGTATAGGAAAAAAATAATAAATACTTTAGTATTGTTTTTTAAATTAATTAGTAATATATGCCAGAGTTGAAATATTGAAATATCAGTAAACCTTCTCAACTATATCAAAGCAATTGGACCTATCATTAAATCTGATCAAATTATACTAACTAAAAGACCTCACAAGACATAAAATTTAAACCTAAACTACACTCAAAATTGCATCACATAATAACACAAGATTAAACCCACTGTAACATCATAAATATAAACTAGTATCATAACTATCACACAGAATTCATCACATCCAATTATCATTGAAAAATTATTATCAAAACTATACACAAGATTTATTTTCAGCACAAATCATTTCATATCCTTGACCAAATAACTATTTATCTAGATATATCTACATACTAGCCTATACATAAATAACTATCAAATTTATTAAGGTTACCAATTATCATCAAACAAAACACACAAGAATAGCATGGAAGGCAAAATTGATCAAGTGCATCACAGTAATTCACAGTTAAATATAACTGTAAAATTTATCAAGGCAACCTATCTCATCAAGTAAAACACAGTAGAACAACCAAAAACTGCAAAAATTGTCAAGTGCATATTGCATTTCATAATTGTAAAATCAAATCAAATAACAATAATCATAAAACACACACGGAAATGGCAAAAAACTTCTAATTATATCATGTACACCATCATAACAATAAAACTAATCAACACAACACACACTAGACCATTCCTATCTATTTTCATTAACAAACTCTAATCAAATTTGGTGGGAGTCAAAACAATTTATAAATTCCAAACCAAAAAATGAACATAATGCTGTCTCCATATAACTACAAAATTATAAAATTTCACACACCATCACAAGGATTTGAGAAACACAGAAAGCTACCATAAAAAAAGGAACCTAAGAACTGAACAACTATCTATACCTTACAAAAACCCACTTCAGAATACACGTTCAGTTATATTTTACATATTTTCTTACAGATGAGAAATAATGTTTCAGAGTCACATTCAAGTTATAAGTTATACTTTATGTAAAATAGATATTATTATCACTGGTAAATATAGATAGACATTGACTGCCCAATATTCTACACCCACACAGCAGAAGAATTCTTCAAAATATTTACATATCAAATACCAAACAATTCTGATTCTTTCCAGTATGTTTAAAATAATTTAGACCATGTCATGCTCACAGCTTATTTTAGTGAGATCTAGAGCAATGACATGTTGAGAGATAAAAACATGTGACCTGACGGACAGTATGATGACAATATAGTTCCACATTATAATGGGTTTATATAGATAAAGATTACCAAGAGAGAAATGAAAGCAATTGTATCTTAAAGTATCCTTCATATTAAAAGGTCACAGTCTTCTTTTTATTCCTTCAGAAATGTTAAACTAAAGTCAGTTCTCATTTCCAGTAACCAAATGGAACAGATCATATCAAATTATATTCAATAACCAAAGATAGCTTGCCAGGCAAGGTAACATACGCCCACTGGCAGCTGTCAGAAATGATTAAACAGTCTTTAGTGACTACAGGGTTGCACAATATAGCTAATAGAGTGAAACGTCAAGTCAGACACGATATTTCGGTGAAATATTATCCGATCATCACGAAAATCAATAGGGATCATCTTCATAATGACATTGACACACAAAATAAAAATCAAAAGAATCTGTAAAAAATTGTAGCCTGTAGAGTGAGCACGAGTTGCACAATATAGCTAATAGAGAAAAACGTCAAATCAGACACGATATTTCGTTGAAAAATTATCCGATCATCACGAAAATCAATAGGAATCATCTTCATAACAACATTGACATACAAAATAAAAATCAAAAGAATCCATAAAGAACTGTAGCCTGTAGAGTGAGCACGAGCCAAATGTGAACGGACGGACGGACCGACCAACGGGGTAATTACAATATACTCCTATCTTACATGTGGGCGTATAAAAATGACCTTCTGGTCATTTAGTTTTGTTAAGTAATGAATAATTTTAAGAAACTACAAGTAATTATAAGACGACTGTGCACTTTTAAAGTATCACTTTACATAAATCATAAACATTGTCTGTAAGCGAATATATTCTAAAGCAGTAACACATATCCCTCAATAACTATTACTACATGGGATGTTATAAGGTAGGCACCCTTCAACCAAAGCCCAATAACTTGCATCCTGTACCTGCCACTGATTGCATCCCATTTCCACCTGCTGGTGAGCCTGGACCTGAACAAAAGCAGCAGAATTACCAGTTAAATTTCATTTGTTTACCAATTAAATTTGAAAATTATTTTGTCATGCATAAAATGCACATTGACTTGTAAAAAAAGCAAGCACTTCTACTATTTAAAAATATCTTAAAGAGAAAATTTCAAAATTATCTACATTTATATCAATCTACATGTTTTACATTTTATTACATGGTAAAGTTACATCTTCTTTATATCTATATACAATATAAGATATATCTCATGTATATCATAATCATGTCAGCTGCATTCTTTGAGCTCTTAAATTATAATAATCAAGAAATTCATATTGTTAAATTGAGGGATTTTTATGAAAAATATCATCACTTTAGGCACCAGCAAATGAATCTATTTTAACAGCAAATAAATCTATTTTATGTATAACATAGAATTTCTACAAATATGATATGATATTATCTCATGAATGAATAGATTTAAGGAAGATGTATTCTCTATTCTGGGAATAGAAAATATTAATTTTCAATAATCAAATAGAAGATCAAAATAGAAAAATCTATATCTATTTCAAAATAGAAACTTTATAAAAAATTTATTCAAAAAAATATTAATCAGGCTGTTAGTTTAAAAGAAGTTCAAAAACATGCAAGAGATAATAAACAATTTATAAAGATAAATAAATAAACAGTGAAAGATGACACTCTTACCTTTGTTGACTACAGCACACAGAGGGCACAAAAGAGAAACAACATAAACATGTAAACAAATTGACTACAGTTGACGTGCTAGGAAATAGTGAGATACAAATGAAAGGAGAAGTTTAAATTAAAATAAAATTAGAAGAATTAACATTATTTTTTTTTTTTTTGTAATCAAGTTCAATTTGTTGACATCTTGAGAACTTTAACACGAGCAGTTTAATGTTTTTGACATAGACTATGGTGACCCCAAATCTTAGTATACTATTCCAATATTTGTCTAGAATCAGTTGCTGCTCTAGTGGGGATAGAGAGGTACAGAAAAATAGTTTGCACCGATTATTGTACCCCTACTTTTTTTAAAATTTGATTTTTATACGTTTTTGCCCCAAATTCACCAAATCAATTCAATTTTTACGAAATTTTCTCAGGGGAACCCTCTTAGACACTCCACGAGAGGCTTGAAACCATGACGCCTCCACATTTTGTATTCAGTCTCCCCATTGTCCCTCCATTAAGTCTGCCAGCCCTTATTTGTACCCCCAGTCTTGGGAGGCCACTGTCAGAAATTGTGATCAAGTATGCCAAATCCTTTTTTATCCAAAAGATAAATTTAAGTTGATTTTTGGAAACTTGTGTGTGTCTGGGGAAATAAAAAGTTCACTAATTTTTGCAATACTACATTAGGTATTTTTCTCAAAAGGAAACCATGAAAATAAAATCTTGAAAGGAGGAATATGATTTTGCCACATAATGAAAGGGTTCAGAATGATAAAAAAAAAAAATAGCTGCCAAGTGCATATACATGAAATAATAGAAATAAACGAAAAACATTGAAGAGCTTACAAAAAGATAAAACAAAAAACACAATATACAAATGATATATGTCAGCTCTGATTATATATTTTTATCCTGGTTTAGTTAAAAAAGTGAAATTGGAATTTATATCTATAATCAATTCACATCATATTTTTCACTGTCATTATTTCAAATGACATTAAAACCTTTTATCAGGCATATAATTCTAATTATTGTATTTAAAAATAAAAAACATATCAACGAATATCAACATATTAATATCCAACCGAATTTAAAACATTAAAAGGGAACCTTGCAATATTTCATTGTTTTGATTTAATCATTCATATTTCAATACAATTTCTCTTTCAAATTAAGAATTCAAGTAATTTAACAAATGTAAGCAATCCTTAATGATAGACGTGTAATTAGCTCTCTATCTTAAGGGGTATATCCCACGTAGACAACTAATTCCTTATTTCAATATCCATTATATCTTTTAATAGAAATACACAATCTAATCAGTATATCAATAGCAACTAGTAACATTTCAATGAATCAAAAAATCATGCCAATTGGGAACAATACATAATAATATTCTAAGCTTAAACTTGGACAAAAAAAGATCAAGGTATCACACACTTAATTAGAATAACCCCAAGCCACAAAAACACACTCAGCATGATGATAATGAAACAGGCATGATTCTTATTGTACATCATGATCACAATCATGGTAAAAATATACAATGTATATTCTGATGGGAATACAACAAATATTAGGAATTTAGAAAAGTTATCTCTTTTTTAATGGTTTTTAGCAAGCCATCATCACTCAATTTTAAGATTTCAGGTTGATCAACCTAGTGAACTAGGTTAGTGTAATTATATAACTCCATTATTTAATCAAAACTACTAGAACTGTGTTTAATAAAATCTTCAATAAAATTTGAGTGTGTTTTGTTTGAGCATCAGTAACCATGGCAATAATAAGTCAAATAATAATTTTTGTTAGTGATAATGGCTTTTAATGTAATCACATGTTTTAACAGTTATGGATATACAGGGAAAAATAGAACAAAACATTCTACTTACTTGAAAAATTCCTAGTTGCCAACATGGTGGTTAATATGGCACCCTGAAAAAATTAAACAAAATGTATCATTAAACAAAATTCAAAATATTTCCACCATTGACTGTCAAGAGCTACATCACCATGGCCAAAGAAAACATGTGACGTAGATGATGTTAAAGCTTATACTTAGATTCAATTTAATTTCATTTGTAGAGTGGAAGCTCTTGATCAGAGAGTTACCCAATTGGATTATATTATCAATTACATGTACTTGGTAATGTACATATTCATTATCACTGTGCATTAACACATCATTTTATCTGAAAACAGCTTTTTATTTGATAACAAACCATTGTATTAAAATATATTATATTATAAGTTAGAATTACACTCATACAGCATACTTCTAATTACTAAGTTTTAGTACTTAAAAACTTGTAGAAAATGATATTTTTATGAATAAAACAATGAAACATGTAGTATCAATGATAATTGTATCCTTACCTATGTGAAATTTGAAGGTTATAACTGGTAACAATATGTCATTGTTTCACATTGTTATCAATAAATTTATAATCTAATCTTAAGTACTGTACATTTATCATGTTCAAACAAACAAAAATTATATTGAATATATCAGCTGTAAATGTCAATTTCCATTGTGTAACATTTATATCTATTTGAGTGTTCTATAATTTGGCATTAGTTATTAATTTCTATCATCTTCAAGCTCTTTCACAGTTAACCATGAACATTTATATTGATGTCCCTAGAAAGAGCCCTATCTCATTTACCAGAGGGTTTCATTGGTTCATTGGATTGAGATTCAAAATGATTTCAGTCAATGGAACTAGTCTATGACTGTGAACTAAATTTAGACCTTCAAACGGTCTTCATTATTCTTCTATCTAATACTAATTAATTTTAAAACTCACCTTAAGTTTTCGTCTGGCATTAAACTTCTTCAAACAATCAACTGTTTCTTGGCGGTGTACTGCAGCAGCAACTCTTTCACGCTGCTGTAACATAAACAATTGAAACATTGTTCAGTTCAAAACAAGGGTCTTGTACACAACACAAAGACCGAGATTTCAAACATAAGATTAATAACCTGTAATATAAAGCCAGTAATATGTACTGGATACATAAAGTTATAATTTACAATTCATAGACACAGAATACTATTTTACGTATTTTATATCTGTATTGAGATAAACAATTTCAGATTAAAAACAATCTTATTTCATCTTTAATCTGACATCATTTAATTCTATTTGATACTTCAAATAGTCTGCATGGAGTATGTGACACGCAATATCATTTAGTTTGTTTTTATGAATTTTTTCAATTTTCTGATCTTTTCTGACAGAATGTAAATAACAAAATATTAGATTATAAATTTCAATTATACAAAAAAAACACAGTATGAAAGGGATTGTAAAGAGATTTTCTAAACATTCTATATGTATCAGGGCCATTTATGGTTTCTAATGTATCATTCCAATTTCAAATTGGAATGGTGCCAATTGGAGTCCCCGATACATATAAGTTTAGACCACCTCTTTAATATGAGTTTCTTGCATTTAGATTCTGTTCTGTTCCTAATAAAAAATTTTGCATTGCAAACTAATCTGACTGAAGAGGTCACAATATTTGGCCAAGAAGTTAATATGAAGAAGACACAACTGATCATTTCCTTCCAATATACTTATCAAAAGACAAGGTTTTAAATCTTTTGCATGAAACCGGTGTACTTCTCAAATTCAAATAGTTGTTAAAGGTATACTACCTCTTTAAATGAACATAAAATTTGGATTCTCAAACTTGGCCAATAATAGTAATAATTGAAAATTATTGAAATAATTTTATTGGAAAGTTTGAGAATTTCTTTTATGTTCATTTTAAGAAATAGTATTCCTAAATAACTATTGTAGAAAAGAAAATGAATCAATTTCACACTTACACAAATCCACGGATGTTTAAGTGCTTCTGATGCATTAATTCGTTTTGCAGGATTAACTGTGAGCATACTATTGATGAGATTTTTAGCTTCTGGTGTGACTGTATCCCATTCTGGGGAAGGATACTGAAATAAAATACTGGATTATAATTTTCAATTCAATAAATATTCTATTGTGGAAATAGTTTGTGAAGGTTTGTAAGATTAAGTTACTCCTCTTGTATCTGAGCTCAGTTAATGCTGTCAGCCCTAAACAAAATCCTTATTATATGCTAAATTTGAAAAGTACTTGGAAGAACAATCAAAGCTGGCAACAATTTAATATCATATTATATGCAAAACTTACATCATAAGCCCCTGATTTGATCTGAGCGTAGAGTCTGTGTTGATCTTCATCCCAGAAAGGTGGATATCCTACTAGTAGAATATACAATATAACACCTGAAATATAGAACAATATTATCATTAACAATCACATAAATTATATAGCAAGAGATGAATACTATAGCAATATTAAATCATATCAATCATAAATATTTCAAATGAATGTTGGTAATTCTTTTCTCATAGTCAATAATGTTTTTTTATATTTTTAATATATCCATGACCAATTGTTATATCTAAATTTACATAATTGAATGTTCAGTCATGGAAATCTTAAAAAACTGTGTGTAAATGTGTTCAGGCATTAAAAATGTGAAAGACCTCCTGAATTATGAGCAAAGGAAAGTTAATGACCTTTCTGTTAAAACTGATATAAAATCATTACTACACAAGTTATGTCCCTTCAATTATTCGGTACCTACCACAAGCCCAAATATCTACAGGTTTACCATAGGGATCTTTTCTAATAACTTCAGGTGATAAATAACCTGGTGTACCAGCAAAGCCTGAAAAATAAATCAGAATTCATAGTATAATAGACATATTTATCAATTTCTTGTACTTGAAATATTATCATTATTGTGAAATATATCATGAAAATTTGTGCAAGCAAAAACTTACCAAACCATGCATGTTGATCTCCTTGTACTTCAATAGCTAAACCAAAGTCAGCAAGTTTAACAGCAGCACCCTTAGCCTTACTAGCTAATAATAGATTCTCTGGCTGTAAATAAAAAACTAATTTTAATAAAAATATTTCTAAATTCTGTAGAAATTATCTTGAATTTTAAAAAACAAATTATCAATATCATATTGTATATTTCCTTGATATTAGATCTTGAATTTCATTGAAAATAAAGACAGTTGTGTCAAGTTATTATCATAATAATTGATGATGAGAGTCATAATAATTGATGTTATTGATACAAGATATCTAATGATTAGACTTCTAAATTAAAAGGAATTTTCCAAAGTTTCCAAATTTTAAATGCATGGGAATTGAAATATACCTTTTTGAGAAATAAGAAAGCCATTCCTATTCGGTGATATTGCTTACTTTACTTAATCGCATCAAATATATTTTCATTAACATAAACAAACTTAGAAATTAGCTTTAATCAATTGTATACTATTTTGATTATTATGGTCTATATAGTTGGCAGCAGTTTTAACAAATTTGTTGACTTTTTCAAACATCAATACTTCATAAATCCAGTCAATCAATTATCAACAATCATACTGTTTCCCCCTTAACACATACTGACAACTTCTTTTACATTTATTACAAGTGTAATTGCAACTTTTATTTTCGACTTGGAAGGTGATTAGCGCAATATCAGATGTAAACATGCCAAATGTCATAAAATTAAAGTTTATATTTAACTCTTATCTGAGTTTACAAGTAAAGTTCACTGAATGTTAAATTTTATGACACTGTATTAGTTTACATATTCCTGAATACCAAAACTTCAATACTGGCTTAAGAGTAAGATTTGTCATACGACATAATACAAGATCAAACGGATAATAAAGAGGTGTATACCGGGGACATTATTAGCATCAATTTGCATCATTCTGATCTTTAATCAAACATCTCTGGTTCCTGCAATTCCACTAAAACTAAGTGTTTGATGATCTCACTAATCCCGAAATATAAAGCATATTGTAAGATTAGTGACATCATAATCTACTTACCGTAGTTTCATTGGAATTGCAGGAACTACAGATATCTGATTGAAAATGGAATGGTGCCAATTTGATGCGTGTCCCTGACACACATAAAACAATTTAGAAAACCTCATTACAATCCCTTTAAGCCTATAATAACTGCAAAAAACAACTAAATAGCAATTTCAGCAGATCTAAGCTTCTGAACAAATAATACAGTGCTTAAATATGTAAATAATCTGTAAAATCAGAACAATTTCACTAAAAATCAGCAGAGTCAAATCAGGTGTAACAGAAGTACTCCTACACTACAGTAAGAAGAGCTGGTAGTCACACAATGATATGAATTATTTTTTCAACAAACAATTAGCAATGAAATTTGATTCTACTGATATTAATCATCATATCTCATATCTTAATGAAATTTATATACTATATCATTTCATTTACAAAACAATAATGACTTTTTCATTGATAAAACTCACACTCATAAAAATCAGTACAGTTTGAAACTGGCCCCCCTTTTAACCTTCAAGCAGCATTTCATGCAATAAAACAAAATTATTTGATATAGATTTGCGTTACTTGACCATTGCAGAATTGTTGTTTTAACAATACACAGGAATAAGACCAATACAAGGTATAATTGTTTGCAGTGACATAGCATAATTTCTTTATCAATACAGAGATGACCATGGTTCACTTGATTGAAATAGTTCAATGAAATTTTAACTTAAAAAAAAGAGGCTGCTCTTACTCATACACGATTCTTGAGTTATGTCTTGTGCTGTACTAGTCGATCAATCAAAATATATCAACATTATTATCTTCAACCTTGGGAGAATCAGACTAAATTCATTCCATTCACGAGATACCATACAATACCAATTACTGAATAATATCTTTTAATGGTACAACCATACAATAGTTATTATATTTGCCATTAAGAATTAGATAAAGATATGTTTGTTGTTATGGCAGAGGAATGAGATGTGAACTATAAGAGTTTCTTTTTGAATACAATTGTTTATAAAGCACCATTCATGATTTATTAGAGTGTATTTAGAAGAACAAACAGAGATTTCCAATAATCAATATAGACCCTAATGAATGTAAACTTGTTTTTTCCCCGTTGTTAATGAATGATAGTGTAAAGACATGTATCAGTGTATTATCTTCTATCTATGTTCAACATTCTGTTCGCTATAACCTAGACAGGCCTAGGGTATTCTTGAGTCTTTAGTTAGTACTAATATTCTTAGCTTTACTTAACTAATTACATCACTCTATTTACAATATAGAGCTAGACTACAAACATGGGTCCCGTTTTATAAAAACTCTTACCATAAAATTGGTCATAAGTATGGTATTTCTCAATGTAAAATTCTACATAAATTCTTACTATAAGATTTAAAGAAGAATTTTGTCTTCTCAAAGATAAATACTTTTCCTGCAGAAAATACACATAACGAATCATCTAGATCTGCATTTTATTACCATTGAAAGTTTTTCTGAAATTCTGAGTTTTCCAGACAAGTCACTAGACTTGTGATGCTCAATTGAGAGGTGCCAATCAAAGCCTGTTTTTTTCTTTAAATGGAAAGCACTATATCAATGGACACTTCCTTTCAAACATGTTTTCTTCACATAGCTAAGAGTGACATTTTCTTCCTCCTTCTGCTGACGTTTCCCAAGAATTAAGAAATAATTTACTGCTATTTAATGTGAGAACTTGAATGAAGGATGTAAATAATGTTTTCTTTCTCTGGTTTATTTCTCAAAATGACTTAGAAAGATTTGAAATGGATATCAAAGATTCTTGTCACACATCTATATGAGTTTAACCTATACTTAATTAATGAAGCATGCTCAAATCACATTTGAACAGGTCTTGTCTAGACAATCTAGGAGAAGAAGATCTAAACCGATTACTTTCAATGTTGGTAATTCTTGTATCATTGATCGCAAAATTCTCACAAGTAACATGTCTTCTGGTCTACAATCTTGACTTGGTAGCTATTAGTTGATGATTTAATAGCAGACCCAAGTGTATTCCTGGTCATATTGGTCACATCAGAATTATGAAAGAGAGAAGACAACACTGTTTCGTACAGCAATATTTTCAGCACATTCTCAATTCTGTATTAAATATTAATTTATATTCAAATAAGACAAAACAATCAAGATAAACGTCAATACTTATAATAGCTCATTGAATTAGTGTGGAGAACCTTAGCCTGTAACAGTTCTCAAGCAACATCAATTATTATCAGTACAATAATATACACTAAAAGTAGGGGCCACACGAGCATCTGACATTTTGTAGGCCTACTGATCAAAATAATCAATGCAAATATTTGCCCTCTTACGCTCTCAAAAATTTTCTAAGATGCCTATCTTATGATTGGAAGTGAAAAAAAAAACCGGCTAAAAACTATGCCTGTCTGCCCCTAGCATAACATCACCACTTCCAGGAAGAGCTACTATACACTGATATAAAACACAATACAGATTTAATCTTTTGACTGATGGTGAAAAATCACAACTATCAATGTGTTTGACACGACTGATGAGACTGATAATGGACTGATGAAGAATTGACTTTCAAATCAAGAAATGTATGTCATGAAAGAACGACGTCATTAATTTTTAATGTAGCCTACTACTACTCAGCTGTCTTTTTCAACTTATTGATTGTACACAAGTCCAGCTTTCTTGAGTAGTATCTGACAAAAGCAAAATCAATTGTCCTTAACGTTGAAAAATAAATGGAGCTGGTGACATAAAGAGTGTTATTATTAGCAGATGTTGACCTGGTGGTATGGTCAGCCAGTAGAGGACAAAATCAATAATATACTACTACTGTCACCATGTATTCTTATAATATAAATATTACATGAGATATATAATATAGAGTACAACTTGTCTCTTCTACTAGATAGTTATACTTTCTTTCCTGATTTCTGTATATAGAATTTGAACAACAGTTTGTATATCATTTAATACAAACTGATTAAAGTCATCCATTAAAACAAGAACTAAAATGTGTCTTCTTTAAGATTGAACAATGATATTGAATTGAAATACTTGATCTGAAACTGTTGAAAGCCCAAAAATTACACGTGCAAACAATAATCTATTGAACTATCTTGAATCTTGAATGTCAAATTTCAGAATCTCACAAGCACACTCTGCACTTTCAAAAATAATAAAACCAAATTAAACTCCAGGAACCCTAGTTAATCATAATGGTTTTGACTTTTGTCATGTGAATATCATGAACTCATGTAGGTACAGGCATTAATTATTGCACCCCTAACCCTTGCTATGACAACCATATGATGCAGTAACTACAACCATTTGCTGAAATATTCATGTTCATAATATAGTAAGTGCATAGTCAGTCTTCAATTATTGTCTTAATTCAAGTCACAAGCTTTTACAGATATATTTTTTGCTCCACTTATTCAAATAATGATTCCAAGGTTCATGCATGTAGAAAAGTTAAGAGAATATGATATACTCCATATTCCAATTTTCTGCACTTGTTGGAGAGATGGAGTTATATTGTCCATATAGGACTTCAGTATGTTATCCTATTCAAAGAGACTTGCATAACAAACAAAGGAAAACCAGGTGAAATTGCTGTAAACTCTAACTACCAGTTTCAAAAAAATATACTTCATATATAAAGTAGGTTTACCTACACTACTGAGCAATACCAGTTAAAATATGGAAATGTAAGCATTGTTAGACACATTTTGGTTATAATTTCTGTCCAGGTTAAAATAAACTTTTTCAGCACACTCAGACAATATAAGAATAGTTCGTACACAAGCTATTAGGTGCTGTGGATTCTGCAAGTCTGCTTTTAACCCCTATCACAATAAAAACTGAATGTAAGTTGAAGGCAAGTTATGTCAAAGACACATAGCAAACGACTTGCACTAAAAATATAAGCTGCATTTTCATTAGATAACAATGAGTTACTGTTTACTGGGATGATACAGCAATTTACAATATTAATTTCGAAATTGTAAGTCTTCACTAAGCTAACAATTGATTATAGCTGGGATTAATCAATAATACTAATATAACATGCAATCATAATGTTATTACCTATAATAATAATTATGCATCACAAATTAAAATCTTAATTATAAGCTAATTAAAAATTAAAAATATATGTTCTTATTTTACATACATGTACCTATAAACCTAAAATCTAACCTATATTCTAAAATAAAAAGGTAGCCTTTATATAAGTCTTAATTATTATTCTACTATCAAAATCAACTGACACACAATTTTCTAGAATGACTGTCTGCTATTTTAGAAGTATTGCAAGTATTGTCATACATCCCACATTAAAGAGAATCATGTAAAATCAGGGAATTCGATTCAGTGGAATGGCAGAGGCATAAAGCTAGAATGTTATCACAAACTACAAGGTTGGCACTCGATTGGATAATTCTGAACAGATTCCGTCTGTTTGTCCAATTCTGGCCCCAAACAAATAGTATGAAAGCTAATATGTCACATTCAAAATTTTCCCATCTTTTTCCTTTTTGATTTCTGTCTGCACCTGCTATTTTTTGGGCACAAATAGAACACGTTTTGAACTCTGAACTATTTTGAGCATTCTGTTGGTTCAATAAATCCAGAGGGTTCAGAGGTCACCAATCGAGTGACCTGAAGGTTACATCTTCTTACCTTAAGATCTCTATGAACAATACCATGTTGATGACAATAACTAACACTCTCTAATATTTGCTGCATGCAATGACTGAAAAGTAACAGATAGAACTGCACATGAGCAAAGCTGATTGTAGGCTACACAACTCAACAACAAAACAAGAGCCCATAATGATATTGCGCCTGATTATCGTGCACTAGTATGCTGAGCTAGGAATTAGAAGGATGCTGCTCTCATAACAATGCTGTGATTTCTATCTCAATTTTAAGCTGCATTTTGTTTAGTTAAGTATAATATTAGTAATGATTTGCAGTGTTAATATAACATGTATTTCGTTCACAAGTCCCTTTAAAGTATGTGTTGACTATTTAAGATAGAGAATAATATCATGGTAGATTTTCCTGAGAAGTTTTTATCTTCTAATCAATGTTAGCAGTTTGTTAAGTCACATTTACAAATGAAATTACAATTTTTGTTCTCAATGTGACAATTTCTATGAAATATCCAGCTGTATATAAGAAGCGTGTCACAATTTTTAAATACAAACTATTTAAAGAGGACAAGGCAAGAAAATACATGAACATAACAAAACAACATGCAGCTTAGTTCTGTTTTAAGAAACAATTACTTCTGTCCTCCTAATGTTGTTGATTATTTATCTAGAACCTTCTATAATCAGAAATTCTGATGTCAAGACTGAATTCTAGACTAAAATATACATGAAAATTCTATATATGACTTGTGAAGTGATTTTCACAATAAATAAAATCAATTATACTATATATATATAACAGGAAGGCAGACAGAAATAATGTTAATAGGAGTTAGAAATCAGAGCAACTTGAGCCACTGAGCTAAAAACATTTTAGCATCCAAGAACCCACCTTTAAATCTCTGTGTATGACAACATTTTGATGGCAATGATTTACCCCTTCTAATATTTGTTGTATACAGTGACTGAAATGGGCAATTAGTGTAAGGGAATAATGGGGTAAAATTTAATTCTACTCTGAAAGTGAAAAGTTTTAACGTTAGTTTGTCCAACAATCTGGTCTGAAATTAAAATCTTGATTTCAAAATCTGATAAAAAAAAAAGAAGTTATTTGGGTTCTTGTGATAAATTTTTAATGGTTTAAATCAATTTTCTGAAATCTATATATTGCAGTAGTTACCTGGCAAGATAAGATAAAGAGGATTTATAGTTCAATTTGGTGCAGAACTAGAAGATAATTTAAAATTAGGTGTACAGTGTAAAGCTTTTAAATGTAATGCTTGTATTATGAATGAAATGTTACGAAGACCTTTATATAAAGCACTGGCCAAGGTTGATGTTTTAGACATATAGCCACTAAATCATATAACTGGGTTATTTTGAAGCTAAAAGATTGTATGACAGAAATAATGCAATGAAATCGCCATTGTACAAACATTTTTAGAGCTGTCGCTCAACAAGAGGATTTTGGGGGCTTATTTTCAGCGATTTGTTTTCTATCTATGTAACGACTATGATCATTTTTGAAAAAAAATATATTAGCGCTAAGCACATGTACAGGAATTGCACGGCCGAAAGACATTACTTCCTATGGAACTTCAAAAATGATATTTTACAAATTCAGAGTTAAGTCCAGTTTTTTCTTTACCTACCAAAACCGTAAATTAATGAGACATTTTTGACAATAAGTTCTCCAGAAGAAATAATTTCCAAGCAAATCATGTGGAATAATGGTGGCTTTTTTGTATTGAAATCTATCTGGGGGCTATATGGAGATAATGAATGTTTGACATTATTTGTAAAATATCTAGGAAGAGCACTCTAACATGTTCACATTTCTTGATATAATGTATAGAACTAGGTAAAAAATATGAAGTATCCGTTTACAGCTGATAAGTTGAAATAAATTGTATTATTACTGGAATATAAGGCAGAGTTGAACTCAATCAATAATCCTTCTACAATTACAAATTCTTTATAATATCTTTCTTCTGACTGTAGTCTTATATATAAAAACAACACGAATTAGATCATTGATTTCGCATACATCATTTGTCTAGCTGGAAATTGAAGTGAATCTTTTAATCTAAAAATAATATGTAATTGAAAATAATTGACTTCAAATACCAGTCTGTAATAAATAAAGAGAGAATATTTCAGTCTAAAATGACTAGATCTTAAGATTTACAAGTCTTACCTGGCATCTGCTTCACTATAAAATTCTCTAGCTACAATATCTTCAAATAATTCACCCCCAGTGACTCTACAATATAACAAGTTTACAACATTGTAATATCATTTATAAAGAACAACCCTTTTTTGACTTGAACCACAGGCAAAATTAAGACACCAAGCAGAAAAGATTTGTGTGTATTCAAATATGTCAAAAAAATATGTTCATTAAAAAAAATAACAATATGGCATTCTAAAAATGGGTTAACACCAAAGACCAAAACCATCAAGTTGTTCCTGAAACTTTCCAACTTGAATCTCTTCTCTGAAAAGTTATTATTACATTAACATTTTCTTAATTTTCCGTATTGGTCTGTAACATGAGCTTAAAGTTTTGTCCGCATACAATTTGAAATCACTCTAAACAGAATAAAGCTAAATAAACATTAATATTCGAGACAGCTTTGTACTGCTGAGTTGCCAATATCAATGAGTTTGATCATAAGGGTCACTATGCCCTAATCACTACTTCAGGTATGAGAATTTAGCAATTGAACTTCTAACTAAAAGCACATCAAGGTTGCACTTGATGTGAAGTTATGATCAAATCAATAGAGAAAATATACCATGATATAAATATACTTACAGATCAAACACTAGATAATGGAAACCTTCATCTTGTATATTATCATGTAATCTAACTGTAAAATATAAACATAATACACTTTAAGCACACAAGCAACATAAATAATAAATATTATTTAATCTATTTTTTCATAAAAAAACGAAAAATTCTTCAACTTCTGATCATTAAGTGTCAATTTTGCCATTTCTGCATCTATTTAGTAGCAAAAGAACAGTTCTAAAATATTGAACAAGTGGTTGTCTAGCAAGATACGCCCACTTCCCTGAAGAATTTTCAGTATATCAATGGCAGTCGCCAATCTGTATCAAATCATACCAAAAATCTGTACAAGATATTGTTTATTTAATTAAACACACAAAATTTCTTTGACATAAACTGCAAACACATTTTCATGCATTTTTACTAAGTCAAAGGCAATAACTCAAATTCCATTCATTGAAAAACCGTCAAATTCAAACTTGACCCAGATCTCATTGTAAAAGATTTGATTTAAATAGGCTGAAAACTGTATTCTCTATTGTTTTCACAAAAATAAATTTCGACAGGTATTTCCTAAGCCAAGGGCAATAACTGAAAAACCGTTCATTGAACGTTGTCAAATCTGAACTTATCCAAGATCTCATCAATATAAATGATCAAGTCAATTTCATTAAAATCAGATAAATCTGTTATTATAAATATAACCCAATTGAAAACTTTCTCAATGCGAGCAATCACACTATTTCTACTTTTATTCCTTGCAAAATGGTAATAATCAAACTTTTTTCTGCAAGGGTTTCTGGATACTGTAAACCAACCCTAGCATGGTCTGCTCATTAGTTGCCAACACTACTCCCTTCTCTGACATTATCAAAGATTAAAATGTTTTTAAAATAATGCACCATTTGTGGATTTAACTCCTAAAAGTAACCTTGAGTGGAAACATATCAAATTAGTCAATATAGCAAATAAGGACAGTGACTTTATATAAATAAAAGAAAGCTCAATAAATGTGAGTTGTTTATTATAACTAGAATCTGAACTAACTTGGTTATTTTAAATATAAATTATTTAAGGAGTTATTTATAACCACTGTTTATATTTAGATTTCAATCAGTCTATTTCTAACCAAATGATGATAAATTTAGATTAACATTGCTTCTATTTTAGTCTGGTTATTATCATTTCTTGTCACAATAAATTAGCACTCTTAAAATAACACTGACACGTGACAGACTCAATTTCTAACACTGATGCAAAACTATCAGGCTCTTAAGACATGTAATATAAATACAAATAATATTTTACAAACTAATCGATTAAACCTAATAAGTTTTAAGGACAAATTTTAACATAATCTTCTCTTATTCCTTGCAGTTATAGTTAAGTATTATATTTTTAGTGTTATAATATCATATTTTCTAAGCTCAAATTATTATCGAATCCATTGTAATAGCATTTCTTGAAATATGGATTTCATCTTTGTTAAGTTTTGTCAATAAGGCTCCTGGTCAAAACTGTGTTTTGTGACCAAATTTCATAGTTTATACCTAGAAAGTATATTCATAGGTATATGAGTTTGAAACTGTTAGAATTATACCATTGACGGAAGTATTTCAATAATTGTGTAACTCCAAGGACTATATTGGGACATGTAGATGTGGAAGTGGTATGGTCAAAAGAAACCAGAAATTGCTAAAAGTGCAAGAAGTCAAGTCATGTTGACATCTGATAAAGATCTCTGACTTGATTCAGACAATTCCATTATCTAATTTCTTTTTAGGGTAAGTTTATACTTGGATTGAAAATCAATTCATTTCTTTTTCTTCTCAAACATAAATACTAAGACACAAGACAAATATAAAGTTTGATGTCTCAACATTTAAAATTCCCAGTGGTCCATAAACAAGAAGAGTTGATAAAAACAGTGGTTTGGTAATCAATCAAGAGGTTCTGGTAACAGAGTGATCAGTTTACAAGAAAAATACCAGCAGTAGCAGCAGATCTACTGATGTTCATACAATGGTAATAACTATTAAGAATCGTGTTGAAATTACTGATCACTGATGAAGTTAGATTGTCTTGATTTACATCTGAATTATTCCTGGAACAACCATGGTTTCCGTGGTACCAATATCAATAAAACTCTAGATTAATGGATCTCTGGAGATACAACATCTACAGTTTGACTGGAATCTTTATCATCTTAAAACAGAAGACAAGTATCAAGTTCCATAGATCAATGTATCATATTTTCTTTCTTTGATTCTAGGTTTTCAATTTACAGACACACAGGATAAAATTTGAAGGAAAATATAAAAAATCACTTTCTCTTTGTTTTGTTAAATTGATGTCATAGTCATTAATCATGGGGAAGAAAATGTCAGAAAACTGAGACATAGAACTCAAGTTATTGTGTTCTTTTCAAAATATAAATGAATGCAAAAACTTTGAAATATGTTTTTTGACCCACATTATACCATTTATAATAATGCTTAGAATATCTAGTATAAAGCTTATGGAACCATACTATTGTTATGGAATATCATAATGAAATTATTCAGTAAACTGCATCGTGTTAATAGTTTCACCAATGAATATTTTATTAACTTATCTTTAAGTTCATATTAGTCCTGTGTGCTACAGGCTGTGCACGTTAAACTCTTTTGACAGTAAGAAATCAAAACATAGTAAGCTAATGCCAAAATTTCCCTCATTGCACACTACATGGCCTATTTGCATTATCCCAATTGGGTGCAGAAGAGTAAAAAGTAAAACTCTATTCATTTCATTTTTTGAGTCTAGGTTATAAGTAAATCATGACAACAAGAATAAAGAGATTTCAACTAAGTTAATTGACCATTGACTTGATAGGTCTTAATTGTTTTATTTGTCAAGGTAAAGGCAGATATACCTACAGAAAACAAACATTAGGTAAAGGAAATATCAAAGGAGTGTTGCATCTTGAGTCACATTAAATACAACAATAAATTGCTTGAATTAATATTTTTCTTTTACAAAGGCTGTTTCAGATGTCCATGGTTTGATCAAGATTGATTTAAATGAAAAGAATTTTCCACAAAACAAACAACTAAGGCATTACCAAGTTCTACAACCATATTTACTACAAACATGCATGACAATATGATTTGCATCGATAAATGCATGTTTATGACATTGTAAATCAATAAGGGTTGATAGATGTTTAATACATAACTAATGTACTATATTCAAAACATCTAATGTTACAATAAACTATGGCATAATGTGCAATAGTCTGTACATTAAAGGTTACTTGAAAATATGAAAGGAAATGATAAAGAATAGACTTATGCTACTGTCCTATGTCCATTGAGTCGCGATTGCCCGTTTCCTTATTTCTTCCAGATTCAGAAAAGTGGGAGGTAAAACTTTTCTTCATTTATATTAAGTCTTGTTTGTCGAATGTATTCTAAAGACAACAATAGCCTTTGATTATCCGATCTATATCGGTAAGATTTGATACCAGAAATATCTTCTACATTCCTGCAATCATTTGACAAAAAACAGGATACATTTCCTATATAGGATATTGATCTCATTAAATAGACTTGAAGCAAATCGTTTGAATCTACAGCCAGTCTCACATCAATGAATTACTATCTTATTTCTTCTTTAAATATCTTGATTTAGTTGGTATTGATCAGATTGGTGGACTTAAGAGTTTTCTTTTTAAGATATCACATACCAACTGATTACATACACTAGTATTATATCGTAAGTAAACACAATCTATTTGTTACAGATACTCATCATGGTAAAGTCAAGCGGAATATTATAATTAATGCTCTCTAAAACTTTATAGAACTTTCAGACTCATCCATTCAATGTCTGTCTGAAATCTGACAGTCTATCAATATAGCCATTTAAGGCCTTGGGCTTGGTAACACTTGGATATATTTTACTAACTACTTCAACTAAGCTGAAGACAGCACTGATGTATTATCTTAGTTAAACTGAATGATTTGTTAACTCAGAATAGTCACTGGACATTTTCTTTACAATCAACCCACTAATTACAGCTCTTACTATCCCTTGATGATTAGTGAGGAGATATAATGGACAGATTAATTGAAGTTTTACTCCTTAATGCATTAAGAAAGGTCTAATGAATCAGCAAACTCTTCTTTAAAATTCATCTGTCTGAATGTGTCATGTGATACTATTTGTCCATTACATGAATGACATGACCATCAAACTGAAGATAATTCATTCAATGATCTGAAAATATTTTCACCAAAAGGCAGCTTTGGATGTTTCATTTTTTCTGTCTCCAAATATTGGTAAAACCATTGATTTCTGCAATTGTCAATGTTCGGAAGTACAGGAAAAAAATTTATTCTGATCATATTTCTTAAAATGAAGCCCAACGGCTAAAAGTTTTATCTAATAATTGATAAAAATTAATTCAGTCCTAAGATTATGGACACTTCTCAATGAAGTACAAATCATGATAAATCATAATCCATAATCTTTCTCAAACTATTTGTATTCCTTGACAGCATAATTTTCAATATGTGAATACACATAGTATTTCAACTGAGTTAACTGTGAAATTCAACAAGTTTAATTTTACAAGAACTTTATATGTCATCTATCAAATCTATCACTTAAAAAATACATTTTTGATCAATTTACCACTTGTCTTTAACCATATTTAACAGTGTGTCACATATTGATATTTAATTCTTTGTATTTTGTTCTAAAAATTTCAGGGAATCAAAAACTCTTTTTTTAAACAGGTATGAGGTAAGAAATGTTTAAGAGACTGAAAGGTACAAATGTGGAACCATGTACATAAACAAAATTTTATTCAGATAGTTGTAGTAGATTGAAAAAAAAGTTTGCCCTGCATCTCTACATTTTCTAAAAACAATTTTTTTAGCAAATTTAAAATGACATATGGCAAAATTCCTCTCTTCAAATTATACACAGTCAGCATTTGAGATATTATAAAGGTAAAATACAATAATGTTTTTATTAGACTTATCACTCAGATAGTGACAGTAGATATTAAAGATAGATATTAAAAAATTC